CCTGCACCACCCTCTCCCACTCCCCCTACACAATTCCCCCCACCCTCTCTACCTAAAATACCCCCATCCCACTCTGCCTACACAATCCCTTTGACTACCGTCTACACACTCCTTCCCAATACCCCCTATACAAGTTCCCTCCCACTACCCCCTACACACCCCCTCTCACTCCCCGTACAGCCCCTTCCCACTACCCCCTCACAGCCCCCCACTCCCCCTACACCAGCCCCCTCCCATTCCCCTCTACGCCACCCCTTCCCACTCTCTCTCCACCCTCTCCCACTCCTCCATCCGCCCTACACCCCACTCCCAAACTTCCAGGGTCACAGGGAAAACTTGCCCTTGAGCGGTTTCAGCACCTCGGACAGCGGCTCAGCCCGGCTTTTCTGGGTTCGCTAGCTGCGGATCCCAGTCACTGAGCGGGGCTCGGGATGCGGGAGCAGGACCAATCCCGGGAAGAGGGAAAAGGATCCGGGCACGGACAGAGGGAGAGGGTCTCGGGAGTAGGGCGGGAAGGTTCCCGAGAATGGAGAGCGTGATTCCCGGGAATGAGGAGGGTAAGAGCCTCGGGAATGGGGAGGGTAAAGGTCCCGGGAATGGGGAAGGAGAGGGACCGGGAATGGATTGGGAACGTCCCCGGAATGAGGGGGTGTGCGAGTCCCGGGAATGGGGACGGGGTTCCGGGAATGAGTACGGGGTCCCGGGAATGGGGTCCCGGAAATGGGGATGGGGTCCTGGGAATGGGGAGTGGGTCCTTGGAATGGGGACGGGGTCCCGGGAATGGGGTGGGGGTCCCGGGAATGCGGACGGGGTCCTGGGAATGGGGAGGGGGTCCCTGGAATGGGGACGGAGTCCCGGGAATGGGGCGGGAGCATGTCCCGGGAATGGGGCGGGAGCATGTCCCGGGAATGGGGTGGGAGCGTGTCCCTGTAATGGGGTGGGAGCGAGTCCCGGGAATGAGGAGGGGATTGGGGGAAAGGGTCCCGGTCACGGAGACGGGGACTCGTGGAGAGTTGGGGGGATAGGGTTCCGGGGCTTAAAGACCTGGGAGAGGGTGAAACCGGCCCCCGCTCCGGGGACCGGGCTGACCAGGGGCGGAGCCGCTGCTGCCCGCTCGGTCTCGGTTCCTACCTCGGGGCTGTCGCTCTCGGTGATTCTAGCCGCCCGGCGGAGGAGGCAGCGGCTCGAGTGTTTGGTTCCCATCAGCGTGAGGATCCGCCCGGGAGCGGCTCCGGTACCAGCGGCTCCCCTACTCTGTTCCCGGCAGCTCCGCTGCTGCGGCTCCCGTTCTTGGATCAGGGTGAATGGAATCTCGGATCCGCCTCCTGCTCCCTTCACATTTCCCTGTGAGAGAGTGAGAGAGGGAATGAGAAACTTCTCAGACTGCCCGAGCCCTCCTGGACCTCAGAACCCTCCCCAGAATGATGACAGAGCCCCTCCCGTCCCCAGCGCAGAGCTCACCCCATACACACAGACACACCCCCGCACACAGCCCATGACCCTCCCCCAAAACACCGACCCTCTCCCTACGCCCAGACCCTCTCAAAAACCGAACCCTCCCCACAGTCCAGAGACATCCCCCCAATACAGATGATAGCCACCCCCCTCCCCCACTCTTAGCCCTTCCCAAAATACAAACCACTCCCCAGAGCCCAGCATTCTCTAAACTCAGACCCTCCAGACTCCTCCTGACAATCCCACCTAGTCTGTGCCAGTCAACAGAGCTCAAAGGCCAAACCCTGAACCACCAGACATAGGATCAACCTCTGGCCCAACTCTGACCCAATCCACCAGGTCTCAGACACCAAACCAGACCAGATGCCCCACTGAGTTCAGACCTTAGACACCACTCCTCAGCCCTAAACCTAGGCACCAGGACCCCCTCCCCCCCACACCCACTCAGATTGCACAGCCTAGAGCACAGCCTGAAACCGCCATCTACAACAGCAAACGGTTTTCATCCTGGTCACCATTTACCAGTTGGAGTCATGCTTAGCACAAAAGAAAATGTTTTTTGTCATGTGATGTGAATATTCATTAGATACTCATTATTACCCATTGCCACTGAACTATAAACATCCTGGTTGTCACCATTGACCAGAAACTGAACTAGACTAGCCATATAAATACCATGGTTACAAGAGTAGTTCAGAGGCTGAGTGTCCTGATTCTCTGAACCACACTCAAGAAGCTTGAGCCGTTCGGAAAAGTAGCATATTGTCACGTTATTAAACTTGTAATCCAAAGGGCCAGTCTAATGATCCAGAAAGCACACATTGAAATGGCAACTGGGGAGTTTAAATTAAGTTAATTAATTAAACATAGAATCAAGAGCTCAGCTCAGCAGTGGTGACCATTTACCAATGATATTGTAAATAACTCCAATCTAACACTCATTTTATTTGAGCAGAAATTCTCAACAATCTGCTTTGATGCCTATCTTCAGTATTATAAACATTTCACTGGTTGCTTTTACACGAATTGTTTGGACTGTATAACTATCAATCATAGGATCTCTACAGTCTGGAAGCAGGCCATTCAGCTCATTGAGTCCATGTCAACCCTCCAAAGAACATCCCACATAGACCCACCCTATCTCCATAACTCTGCATTACCCATGGCTAACCCACCTAGCTTGCACACTATGGACAATTTAGCATGACCAATCCACCTAACCTGAACACCTTTGGACTGTGGGAGGAAACCAGAGCACCCAGAGGAAGCCCTTGCAGACACAGGTAGAACATGCAAGCTCCACCCAGACAGTTGCCTGAGAGTGGAATTGAACCCAGGTCCCTGGTGCCGTGAGAAGCAGCAGTGCAAACCCATGGGCCACCATGCCACCCAATTACACATCATTTCAACTTGTTTTTCTAGAACACGTTTAAGTGAAACTAAATCCCAAGATGCTTCACAAGGGCATTGTGAAGCAAAATTTAACATGTAGCTATGTTAAAACAAAAATTAGAACAAATGACCAAAAGCTGACGGAAAAGAATTCGGTTTCAAAGAGTGTTGTAAGGGATAGGAAGGAGGTAAAGAGGCTGAGGGGTTAGGGAAGGAATTCCAGAGCTCAGGGCCCAGACAGCTAAAGGCACAACACGATGGTGATGTGATTAAGAACAGCAATGTATAAGAGGTTGGAATTAGGGGATTGCAGAGATCTCCAATGTTTGCACAGGCTTTCAATGTTTGAAGGAGTTAGCGAGAAGTGAAATTTCAGAGAGACTTGCAAGCAAGGCTAAGAATTTTAAAATCAACGTGCTGAGAGGAGTGGGATCCGTGGGCTAACATAACTCGTTACCATGTAATATATAAGGGGGAGCAATAATCCTTTTCTTGATGACTTTCTGGTGGCTATGTTGCCCAGTTCTAGTCTTGAGATAGTTTTTGTTTCTACTGCAAAACATGCTAAAGAAATGGTGGATGGTGCGAGGCATGTTTAACAGAGGAAATTGAAACTTAAGGAAAGGATTCCCCAAACAAAACCAGCAGTGTACAATGCAACCACCAGAAAAGTCACTTCAGTGTTGAAACAGCTTGGTGTAAAATATTTTCAATTAATTGTTTAAAAAAAATAGAAAATTCAGAAGAAGTTTTAAGAAGTCTAAAACCTTCCAAAGGGAACATAACTGAAGGGACCACAGCCACAATGGTTTATTGACTGGGAAGTTAAGAGGTTCAGGCAGAATGAGAGGGTTGGTCATGTTGAAGTGTTTAAAGTCAGCAACTACATTCCTCATGGGGTAGAAATGTAACAAGGTTCAAGTCTCTGCCATCAGCCTCCAATGTTTTTGGGCTGATTTCTCATTAAATAGAGACCCTAAGCTATTTAGCAGCTTCAAGTTAACATCTAATTATGTTCCCAGTAAATGGTGTGGTATGGTGTGTGCCAAAGAAGAGTCATTGGACTCAAAATGTTAACTCTCTTCACAGTTGCTGAGTTTCTCCAACTCTCTTTTTATTTCAGATCTCTAACGTCTGCATTATTTTGCTCATACCTTTTCTAATGGTGTGGTACCTGCTGAGATTTGGATCCACTTCTCAGGCAGCCCAGAAACAAAACTTTAAGCTGCCTACTGAGATCATTCCAAAATTACCCAGTTATCTATGGTTAAGAAACGCAAAATAATACAAAATGGAAAGCTGGTATAAAAACAAAAGAAAAACACTCAGTGTTTGTCGAGGAAGAAAAAAGTTAATGTTTTAGCCCTGTGATCATTCATCAGAAATGTGCTTTAGGAAGGATATGTTGGTCTTGGAGGGAAGACATGGGTTTATGAGAGTGATGCATTGACTTCAGGAGTTGTTATAAGGGGAGATTATACAAATTAGGCCTGTTTTCTCTCGAAGTCAGAAGTTTAAGTGGTGATCTGATCGAAGTCTTCAAGACATTAACAGGAAAGGACAGGATAGATAAAGATAAACTGTTCCCACTTGTTGGGGATTCTAGGATTAGGGGACATGGTCTAAAAATGAGGGCCAGACCATTCAGGAGAGATGTTAGGAAGCACTTTTACACACAAAGGATCGTAGAGGTTTGGAGCTGACTTCCACAAATGTCAGCTGATGTTCAATCAGTTATTAACTTTAAATCTGAGATAGATAATTTTTTGTTAAGCAAAACTATTAAGGGATATGGGCCAAAGGCAGGTATATGGAGTTAGGCCACAGATCAGCCATAATTTCACTGATGGTCGTACAGGCTCAAGGGACTGGATGGCCTACTCCTGTTCCTTTGTTCCTATGTTTTGAGTAAATGAAAGAGAGAATGTGGAGGAAGAATGAAACAAAGGAGTGTGATGGGGGGAATGTAGGAGAGTTTAAATGAGAAAAGATTTCTCAGTGCACAAGCCAAAGGGATACTAATGGAATAAGTCAAAGAAAAAAATTGTGTCAAGAGGAGATGTGAATAAGCAGGATAGCTGTCTTCCAAACACCAAGCAAAGAAACAAAAAAGAGATGAGAAAGATACAAATCCAAACCAGCAAAAGGACACAAATCAAAATGTGGGTGGAGGCTATAATCTAAAATTATTGCGCTGAATATTGAAGACTTTACAATGGCCAGTCAAAAGTAAAGCCTTTTGAAAACTGTAGTAGCAACATGAATAGTGCTCCCACCTAACAGGATGCCATCATCAAGCCAAAAAGATGGTCCTCCTATCACACAAATCAGAATTTGAGTGCTGGTGTGATGTCAGGTATCTAAGCTGTTTGTCCCAAAGACCAGTGAATCACATAAAACAGTATGTCCCTTCGATCATTTGCAACAAGCAAGGTGCTGACCATATGCAGCCAGCTCACACCTGTGAAACATGATGGCCAACATTAGGTAAGACTCTGCAAATGGGCAGCATTTGCTGGATAATCCAAGTGTGCAAAGAATTACACTGACAATAATTTATAATTGTCAGCTGGACTCAGAGTGGCACACGTATGTATTCCAGAAACTATATGTATTGATATACAGGGCCCTGTTGCTTTCAGTCAGAAGGAGCATATACAATGCACTTCACCTGTTCATTTCTTAGGTCAATGCCCTGATAATGAAAATCAACTTGCCTGGTTTTAAATTTAAACACATCCTGGCTACAAATTGTAAATCAGCATTAAAGAGTGCATTCTCCATGGCAACAATCCTTTGCCAATCAGAGTCCACTGGCCAACCAATCAGCACTCTCCTTTCATGGATAAATATCGGTTTTATCCCCCAACTCTGTATTCTGGTGAAATATCCCAATGAGTGCTAGATGAAAAGCTTTGACAAAACTTGTCCTTTCTCAGCAATACTAAGCAATATTATGAAACAATTACATTTATATAAGTTAACAATACTGCACAGCCATCTCCTCTAGTGAATTTAAATCCTTTTGTATTTCCTTGCAGTTCTTTATCAACCTAATCCACGGAAATCTATCAATGATGGGTGAACAGGCTGAGTCTCTTTTCTCTTGAAAGGAGAAAGTTGAGGGGTGACTTAATAGAGGGCTTTAAAATTGTGAAATGTTTTTACAGAGTAGAAATACAGCAAAGGTGTTTCCCTTTTGGGGAGAAGAACAAAACTGGAGGCCATCAATCTCAAATAGCAAACAAGAAATCAGATTAAAAACTTCTTTACCTGGAATGTGGTGAGTGTGTGGAACTCACCAGCACAGGAATTGGTGAAATGATAGCATAGGTAGGTTTAAAGGAAGCTAGATAAGAAATAGAGGCTTACATTCATTGACGTAGATAGGAAAAATGTGACAGGGCTCGAGTGGAGTTTAAATGTCAATATGCACTGGAGTGGCCTTTATCTGTATAGACTATGTAATCCTATGTAACTAGATTTTGGCCTCATTTGCAAACTTGTTAACCATATGCCCAACACATGCATGAATAATTATATCATGAATTAAGGCTATGAAAATCTGTGGCTCTAAAATTGGTTCAATGGGATGCCACTGGTAACATATCTCCCGGATGAATCAATTCTGTGTACTGTAAGGTTCTAGGTATGATTGAAGCTAATTCCTAACCAGTATTTCTACTCTTTAATAATGTTGCATGATGCTGCTTTGTGATATAATCTAGTGAAAGGAGCCTTAATAACAGCTTTCTAAAAGTCTGGATAAATGTCTACCATGATCTACCACCCTAGTGATGTCCTGAAGAAAATTGAATCTGTTTGGCACAATCTAATTTCATAGAACCTCTACAGTCTGGAAGCAGGCCCTTTGGCCCAACAAGTCCACACTGACCCTCAGAGCATCCCACCTAGGCCCATCCCCCTAAAGCCCACTCATCCCTGAGCACTGTAGCATGGCCAATCCACCTAGCCTACACATCTTAAGACTGTGGGAGGAAACCAGAGCACCTGGAGGAAACCCACACAGACGCAGGGGAAATGTGCAAACTCCACACAGACAGTTGCCTGAGGGTGGAATTGAACCCAAGACCCTGGTACTGTAAGGCAGCTGTGCTAACCACTGAGCCACCATGCCACCCCACAGTCTTTCAGAAGACATTCCAATTCCCCTTTGTCTTTTCCAATGATCATAAAGGATATCTTTTATTATCCCATCTACATCTCAGTAATTGATATCAGGCTGATGGACCTACGTTTTCTTGATTCTAACTTTTTCCTTTCATAGTAAACACATCAAGTAGCTTCCTGTCTAAGGGAAGATCCCATGATTTGTTAAACTGTTGAGGATGTAGGAAAAAGGCTCACACAGCTTCTGGTTCATCCTCTTAATCCCCTCAGATGAAGATTATTCCAGACCTTGAGCCCTACCCTTTTCTATAGTTTCTAGTACACACAAGTGAGCCACTCTGTGAGCTCAACCGACAATTATAAAGATGAGGCTCAAATTATAAAGGTTACATTTCTATCTAATTTATTAATAATGCAATACAAAGTAACCCTCAGCTGCAGCATAAGCATCATCTACAGGAGTATAGACTGATAAACAGTCACTTACCAGCTCCGTCATAACTTGAGCATCAGTTTGATACTGTCGTAGAGTAACCTTTAGTGACCAGATCCAGTTTTTAATGTTCCTCTCACAACAGCTTAATAAAGCCTTTGCTTTACTGTTACAATCTATAGACTGCTTCAATCTTCTCAGCTAACCTTCTGCCTTTACTTTCCACCTCAACTGCATGTAATCATTTTCCTTGGTTGTCCTGTGAGGTTGCTTTGTCGAAAACATCCTGTTATGATTGGACTTGTCTCCACACATTCTTTGTTAACCTTAATGGTTTTGCTCTACTGTTAGATTGGATTATGGGGGATATACACGACAGAAACTGACCCTTCTACCTAATTGTCATTTACACTCCATTTGTCCATCTGATTTTTCCTCACCAAATCCTCTATTCCCTTCTCCTTCATATAGATTTACCTCAAATATGTCCATACAATTCACTTCAATCAGTCCCTGTGGGACCAAGTTACATGTTCTCACCATTCTCTAGAAAATGAATTTCTTCTGAGTTCCCTATTAGATTTCTTCATCTTGTACAGATATGTCTGCTCACAGAACTGTTACAATGCAGAAAGAGGCTACTTTTTTTGCAGTAGCTTCCTGAGCATTTTGACTTAGTGTCATTCTCCTAGTTTTTCCTCATAATCTTGTATAATCTTTCTATTTAACTAATCACCTATAGGCCTCTTAAGTACCTCAATTAAACCTACCTCTTCCAGACAATGATCCCAGAACCTAACTATTTGCTATGTGAAAAAGTTTTTTTCTTATTTGCTGCTTTTGAAAACATTTTAAAGCTGTGCCCCTGGTTCTCAATCCTCTCACAAGCAGTAACAATTTCTCCTTGTCTACGCCATTCAGATACCATTGAATCTGCTGCCCTTATCCTTCCAGATGGGAGTGGTTGTGCGTTTGGAAGGTGCTGTATAATGATCTTTGGTGAATTTCTGCAGTGCATCTTGTAGTTTGTACACACTGCTGCTACTGAGCATCGGTATTGGAGGGATTGGATGCTTGTGGATGTAGTGCCAATCAAGTCGGCTGCTTTATCCTGGATGGTGTCAAGCTTCTTCAGTGTTGTTGGAGCTGCACCCATCCAGGCAAGTGGGGAGTATTCCATCACACTCCTGACTTGTGCCTTGTAGATAGTGAATGGGCTTTGGGGAGTCAGGAGGTGAGTTACTCATCACAGTAATTGTACACCAACTCCAGCTGAGGTCTAACCAGTGTCCTATATAAATTCAGCATAACCTCCCAGCACCTCATACTCAACATCCCTATTAATGAAGCCTAGAATACTTTGCTTTTTATCAGCTCTCTTTACTTGTACTGCCACATTTAATGACCTGTGCACGTATACATTAAGTCTTGTTGCTCCTGCACACAAATGAGAATAGTACCCTTTGTTTTCTACTGTCTCTCTATGTTCTTTGTTCCAAAGAATATCACCTCACACATCTTTACACTGATGCTCAGTTATGTCCTTCCTCACAAAGGAGTCTACTTCCACCCTATCCAAACCCTACAGAATTTTTTAAAAATTCAGCATTTATTATCCAATCCTGATTGCCCAGAGGGTAGTTAGGAGGCAGTCACATTGCTGTGGATCTGGAGTCAGATATTCCTCCCTTAAGGAACCTTAGTTAACCACACAAGGTTTTATGATAAGCAACAGTAGCTAGCAACCCTACTTTTCAATTACACCCATTTAGAAATAGAACCCTGTAGTTGCTTTGGTCTTAAATGGCCTTGCTAACCTGTGATATAACTTTTAGAACTTATTTGTATTCCAAGATATCTTTGTCCCACTTGTTCCCTGACAGTCACTTCCTACCAATCTGTACATCTTCGCATTTATATGTGTTAAACTTATTTGCCAATTATTCACCCATTCTCAAGTATACTAATGTCCTCTGGTATTTTATTGCAACCCTCATAAACATTGACTATATAACCCCCCTCTAATTTAATGTCATCTGCAAGTTTAGGAATTGTGCTTTTGATTCCAAAGTCCAAATTGCTAATGTAATTTGTGAACAGCAAATTGGGGTGGCACAGTGGCTCAGTGGTTAGCACTGCTGCCCCACAGCACCAGGTATCCAGGTTTGATTCTGGCCTCAGGCAATTGTCTGTGTGGAGTTTGCACATTCTCCCCTGTGCCTGCGTGGGTTTCCTCCAGATGCTCCAGTTTCCTCCCACAGCCCAAAGATGTGTGGATTGGGTGGATAGGCTATGCTAAATTGCTCATAGTGTCTGGGGTGGGTCAGGATGGGATACTCTTCAGAGGGTTGGTGTGGACTTGATGGGCCCAATGGCCTGCTTCCACACTTTAGGGATTCCATAAAAAAACTCCCATCATTGATCCTGATGAAATACCATTTCCTACCTTTTACCACTCTGAATAAATATCCTTTAGTCCCACACCTGCTTTCTCTCGAAGTCAATTCAGTCACTTGTCCTCTGACACCACATACTCTAACTTAGCCTAGCCTTAGTCTTAATTAATGTATTTGTCTATTATGGGGTACTCTTTCAAAAGTTTTCTTGAACACCTAGATAAATTATATCTACTAAAGTACCATTGTTGACTCTCTTTGTTACCCCTTCAAAATAATCAATAAGCTTATGCAAGCAAGACTTTCCCTTTTGGAATTTACATTATCATATTTTCTTTTATTTCTAGGTGTTCTCCTGTTCTCTCCTTTATTAAGGATTATATTATTTTCCTCCCATAATATTAAGCTGCCTGGTCTGTAATTCCCATTCTTAAATATAGAAACTATATTAGCTATTCACCGGTCCACTGGCCCTACACCTTTCTCTAATTAATTATTAAATGTAATTATTAATGTTTCTGTTATGTGTTCCATAAATTCTTTTAAAAATATGGATACAATCCATCCAGACCAGAAGGCTTGTTCTTTGAGTTTGTTTGGTTTCTTCAATACCTTCCTTTTTTGATGTTTGATGTGAATTTATTGCTCATCCTTTCATTCAATGTCATGTTGGCATGTTCTATCTTCCTGGTAAATATGAAAAGATAATGGAGCACTGTTTAACGTTTCCACCATCTCTTTGTCGTTATCTAGTCTATCCCCTAATGATCTTAACTCCATCACACCTTCATTTTAAACATTTTTGACATATAATATGTTACTAACTTATTTAATATTTCTTGATCATTTAAATTTATATTACCTATTTGTCTTCCTAAATTATTAAAATGCTCTTCATTATCTTTTCATATTCTCTTTTATTCTTCATGTGTGCTATCTATATACATGATGTTTGCCTCGTTCCTAATTTTCAATCTTTTCCCTTGTGTCTTTGCTCATATATGGAGTATATAAGACCATATAAAACAGGAACAGGAGTAAGCCATTTGGCCCCTTGGGTCTGCTCCATCATTCAATAGGATTGTGACTGATCTGACATTCCTCATGTCTGTTTTCCTGCCCTGTCCCCGTAACCCTTGATTCCTTGACTGATCAAGAATCTATCTATTTCAGCCTTAAGTATACAGAAGGACTCTTACCCCACAGTTCTCGGTGGCAAGGAGTTCCAAGGACTCACAACCCTCAGATAGAAGAAATTCCTCCTCATCTCAGTCTTAAATTAGTGCCTCTTTATTCTGAGACTACGCCCTCTGGTCCTAGACCCTCACATGGGGGGAAATATCTTCTCAGCATTGAACCTGTCAAGCCTCTTAAGAATCCTATATTTTTCAATAAGATCATCTCTTTTGCTTCTGAACTCTAGTGAATAGAGTCCCACTTGTCTTTAGAACACAAAATCGAGCAATTAGGTATTATCTGACAGCTCACTGCGCATTTCATTCCTTGACTTAAAAAATGTGAAGACTTCAGGCAACAGATCTAAAAATCTTTGAGAACATTCCCTCAACTTAAGCACCTCAAATCAACATGGAGGATTAGCTCACTGTAGACAGTACTAATTTCACTAAGGAGTTAAAGCTTGCTGAAGGGCTCATATTCAAATCAAGTTTAAAATAATATCAACAGCTTTCTTAACATGAGCAAAGTTTATGACTTTACTCACAAATGCTTGCTAGTGCATTGTACAGCGCTTATTAATAAAAAAAAGTCAATCAGGATCATTTATTACTGTACAACAAAGTCCACATTTGCACCAACCATGGGAGGTGCTACACCAATGTGGTCAGATCCTAAAGGATATAACTGCTAGACTGGGTCTGCAGCAAGTAGTGACGGACCCAACGAGAGGGAAAACTATCCTGGATCTCATCTTCACCAACTTTTCACTAGCTTCATTGGAATACAATGTAAATAAATGTGAAGTCATACATTTTGGTAGGAAGAATAGTAAAAAGGATTATTACTTAAATGGTAAAAAGTTGCAGCATGCTGCTATGCAGAGGGACCTGGGTGTCCTTGTGCATGAATCACAGAAGGTAGGTCTGCAGGTACAACAAGTAATTAGGAAGGCAAATGGAATTTTGTCCTTCATTGCTAAAGGGATTGAAATAAAAAGCAGAGAGGTTATGTTGTAGCTGTACAAGGTGCTGGTGAGGCCACACCTGGAGTACTGTGTGCAGTTTTGGTCTCCTTACTTGAGAAAGGATGTATTGGCACTGGAGGGGTGCAAAGGAGGTTCACTAGGTTGATTCCGGAGTTGAGGGGATTGGCTTATGAGGAGAGACTGAGTAGATTGGGATTATATTCATTGGAATTCAGAAGATTGAGGGGGGATCTTATAGAAACATATAAAATTATGAAGGGAATAGATAAGATAGATGTAGAGAGGATGTTTCCACTGGCAGGTGAAGCTAGGACAAGAGGGCATAGCCTCAAGATTAGAGGGAGCAGATTTAGGACTGAAGTGAGAAGGAATTTCTTCACCCAGAGGGTTGTTAATCTATGGAATTCCTTGCCCAGTGAAGTACTTGACGCTACTTCAGCAAACGTTTTTAAAGAAAAGGTAGATTTTTTTTGAACAATAAAGGAATTAAGGGATATGGTGAGAAC